TAACCAAATAATCAGAACAGCATCACACACGATAAATAAGGAGAAAACTAAGAAAACCCCCATACAGAACTACCAAACCAAATTGGTAGTCTGAAACACATGGGACAAGAAACAAAAGAAATGCAAAAGAACCAGAAAATGAGCGATAAAATAGCAACGATAAGTCCTCATATATCAATAATTGCCCTAAATGTAAATGGACTGAATTTTCCAATCAAAAGACCTAAAGTGGTGGGATGGATTAAAAAACAAGACCCAACAATATGCTGCCTCCAGGAAACACATCTCAGCTCTAAAGACAAACACAGGCTCAGAGTGAAAGGATGGAAGACAATACTCTAAGCTAATGGCAAACAAAAGAAAACAGGTGTTGCCATACTTACATCAGACAAAGTTGACTTCAAGATAAAACAGGTAATGAGAGACAAAGAGGGGAAATATACAATGATAAAAGGGACATTCCACTAATAAGACCTATCACTTTTAAATATATATGCCCCCCAACACAGGAGCACCAAGGTACATAAAACAACTATTAACAAACCTAAAAGGAGATATTAACAACAACACAATAGTAGTAGGGGACCTTAACACCCCACTTTCATCAGTGGATAGATCATCCAGACAGAAAGTCAATAAGGAAATAATGGACTTAAAGGAAAAACTTGATGAGATGGACTTAATATATATAGAGCACTCCGTCCAAACACAGCAGATCACACATTCTTCTCAAGCGTGCATGGAACATTCTTAAGAATGGACCATATGTTGGGAAACAAGGCATGCTTCTATAAATTTAAGAAGGTTGAAATCATAACAAGAATCTTTTCCGACCATAACAAACAACTTGATCAAAAAATGGGCAGAGGAAATGAACAGACACTTCTCCAAAGAAGATATACAGATGGCCAATAGGCACATGAAAAGATGCTCAACATCACTAATCGTCAGGGAAATGCAAATCAAAACCACACTAAGATATCATCTTACATCCATTAGAATGGCTATACTCACCAAGACAAAAAAACAACAAATGCTGGAGAGGCTGTGGAGAAATGGGAACCCTCATTCACTGCTGGTGGGAATGAAAACTGGCATAGCCTCTGTGGAAAACAGTATGGAGATTCCTCAAAAAATTAAAAATAGAAATACCTTATGATCCAGCTATCCCACTACTGGATGTCACCCAACGAACCTGAAATCAACAATCCAAAGGGGCTTATGCACCCCTATGTTCATCGCAGCATTATTCACTATAGCCAAGACATGGAAGCAACCCAAGTGTCTCTCGACTGATGATTGGATAAAGAAGATGTGGTATATATATACAATGGAATACTACTCAGCCATAAAAAAGACAAAATCGTCCCATTTGCAACAACTTGGATGGACCTGGAGCGTATTATGTTAAGTGAAATAAGCCAGAAAGAGAAAGACAAACACTGCATGATTTCACTCATATGTGGAAGATAAAATAACACACGGATCGGGCCAGCCCTGTGGCTTGGTGGTTAAGTGTGTGCGCTGCGATGCTGGCGGCCCGGGTTCGGATCCCGGGTGCGCATCGAGGCACCACTTCTCTGTCCATCCTGAGGCCGAGTCCCACATACAGCAACTATGAAGGGTGTGCAGCTATGACATACAACTATCTACTGGGGCTTTGGGGGCAAAAAATAAAATAAATAAAATCTTTAAAAAAAAAAAAAAAATAACACACGGACAGATAGAACTGTTCGGTGGTTACCAGGGGCAAAGGGAGTGGGAGGCACAAGGGGTGAAGGGATGCATTTATATGGTGATTGACAAACAGTAATGTACAACAAAAATGTCACAATAAAAAAAAAACAGAGGCCGGCCTGGTGGCGCAGCAGTTAAGTGTGCGCCCTCCGCTTCAGCTGCCCGGGGTTAGCAGGTTCAGATCCCAGGCGTGCACCAATGCACTGCTTGTCAAACTATTCTGTGGCGGCATCCCATATAAAGTGGAGGAAGATGGGCACGGTTGTTAGCCCAGGGCCAATCTTCCTCAGTGAGAAAGAGGAGGATTGGCCTCGGATGTTAGCTCAGGGCTAATCTTCCTCACACACACACAGAAAAACAGCCCCGAGATGGGACCTGTGACAGTGATGACACCTGCCAGCCTGATGGTGCCAGGCTTTCTGCCAGACACCTCACCTGTGTCAGCTCATTTAACCCCCATAAATATTTATTTATGAGGTAGGTACTATTTCCCACCCCCCTGTTTTATAGATGAGGAAACAAGTTAACTTTCAGAGCCAGGACTGAATCTAGACCTTTGGGCTCCAAGCTCAGAGTCCATCCCATGACACACAGCCTGTTACATCCTTGTTTAGAGATCAGGCATATGAAGATTTAGAGGCTATAGGGTGCAATGTAGGGAATGTTTTGAAACAGGCTTGGCTACTACTAGATGTGTTGTGTCTCCTGGCTTCCCTCTGGGCACTGAGAAACCAAGAGAGGAGAGGAGGAGGAGGAAGTGGGAAGGGAGGAGGGAAGGGGGAAGAGATTAGAAGTGAGCAGAGGCAGAGAAGAAGGTACAGTCCCCTCTGCCCTTCACTGTGGCTTGACGACGCCCCCTGTGCAGGCAGCTTCAAGCCCATCCCTGTGGAGGCTGCCCATGGAGGCTGGTGTCCCACCCAGAATAAACCAGATGACGCCCCAGACATTTAGTTTACAATCAAGGCAGCACATAGGCCCCCAGTAGAGTCAGTGGGGCATGGTGTGGATCTCTGTCCAAAAAAAGCAAATTGCCAAAAAGCTGGTATAGTATAACCCGTACTGTAAAATGAATAACCTAAAATAGTATTCACTTAGGAAAAAAATCTGGAGAAAAATTCTGCAAACTCAGTGGTAGTCATCTCTGGAGGGCTCAGATTAGAGGAACTTTTTTTTTTTTTTTATGAGGAAGATTAGCCCTGAGCTAACATCCGTTGCCAATCCTCCTCTTTTTGCTGAGGAAGATTGGCCCTGGGCTAACATCCGTGCCCATCTTCCTCTACTTTATATGGGACACCACCACAGCACGGCTTGACAAGTGGTGCGTGGGTCTGCTCCCAGGGTCCGAACCTGCAAACCCCAGGCCACTGAAGCAGAGCGCGGGAACTTAACCAGTAGGCCACCAGGCTGGCCCTAGAGGAACTTTTAACTTCTTGTGTTCTGTATATTTCTATAATACTTAAATGTTTAACGATGCACATGTAACGCTTTGGGAACCAAAAGGACAGACAAAGCAATGGTTTTAAAGAGAGGGCATCCCCGCCCTCCATCTGTCATCCTCTCCAGACTTCCAAAACCACCAGCATGTGCAGGGAACTTCACACCCCGGTACCAGGAAGTGTTTATACATCGTAAGGATTTTGTCCTGAGTGTGTACGATTAATGATTAAAGAGATATTGCCAATCCTGTCAGATAAGTTTAATGTTTCATTTGAGGATTGAAACACTAAAGGGTTCGTCCCCTGACTTTGCACACTGTTGCTTAGGTGTTAGTTTAAAAAAAAATGAAACAAAGGGGGAAATGGTGTGATTTTTGTTCTGTTTTCATGACTGTGTTGATGCTGGACCTGAAACGCCTTTACTATTTGTGACAGCTATACTGCTTTCCTTATCTTCAAGCTCAGGAAAATAGGTTGCTGTTATAATTACTGAGTCAGTGAGAAAGGGATACTGAATAAGATGCAAAATAAAAGGAAAAAATGCACCATCCAAAAAAACTGAGCAGCACTGATGGCAGGTGGAAAAGGGGGCCACAGGAGGGGAGGCTGAGGAGTGAGAGTAACAAAGGCAGGCTTCCCGGAAGAGGTCAGTTGGGGAGCAGGCGAGAGTGGGGAGGAGGGCATCTCAGACGGGGAAGGCAGATTCAGTCTGGAGGCAGGAACTCAGGGGCCGGGCCTAGAGTGGGGCCCACTTGCCCCATTTCCCCTTTTCCCTGAGAGAGGTTCAAGTCTCGGCCCCGCCCGTGGCTATGGGCTCTGGAGAGGGTGCTGAACAGAGCCGGGAGGGAGGCCCAACCTACTCCAACTCTGGACTCTGCCCAGGCATTTCCCTTGAAAGGAGAAGACAAGCCAAAGGGCAAGAAGGTTGGAGCCCGCTTGTCCTCACGGAAACGCACGCTTCCATCTATCCTGAGAGTGACTTATTCACCACAAATATGTGAGTAGGAAGAGGATCCTGCCTCTCTCTGTGTGTCTGTTTGTGCATATGCACAGGTGGGGGGTCTTTCCCAGGCTCTGCCTGTGTGTACACTTCCACATGTGTCCCTGCTCCTGCATGCACATGTGTGCCTGCCTCTGGGTATGTGAGCTTAACCAGGATGGTGTTTGGATAGAGTAGGGTGCTTCCCAAGGTGAAGAAAAAGATGGGGAGAGATGGGAGTCTTAGTTAGGGCTCTTGTTAACAGGGTGAGTTTAAGCCTATGAACTGAGCTTCAGCAAAAAAAAAAAAAGGGCTATATTGGGTCTTGAAAAGTCCAGGGGTAGGACTAGTTTCAGGTATAGTTGGACCCAGGGACTGGAATGATGTCTTCAGGATATTGTTTCTCCATCTTTCAGAGGTAGGAAAGTATAACACAGCGAAGATATCACTTAATGACAATGATTTTAACCTGTTGTGGAGAGTGATGAAAGTTTTCTTTTCAGAAAAATGCCTTTATCAGATACATACATATGCTGTACATAACTCCTTCCTTACGAAGTGGGCAGAAGTTGCCCTGTTTCTGCCTGGCTCCTAGATTTTCAAGGACTTGCCTCTCACAGATTCAGAAGTGAGTGCAGAAAGGGGCACTTCCTCTGTCCCTGGGGAGCCATGGCTGTGGCCTCCAGGCACAATTAAGGTTGAGCTCTGAGATGGTATAAGCTGTGCCAGGTGTCTGCTCCCTCTTCCCGGCCCTCTCCTTTCCCATCCTCCAGGCCCCTTGCCTGGGTCCTGCCTGGCTTTCCACTTTTAGCTCTGGGCTCTGACTTTGTCTTTCAGCTGCGAGGTCTGATTCATGGAGGATGACACATCAAGACAAAAAGAGTCCATCTCTCTCAGATCTGTGGCCAATGGTCTGGACAACACAGGGGCTGAGTTCTTGGAAAGCCTGGTCTGTCCCCTTCCCCCTTCCTATCTGGGCCCCCTGGTGGGAGGGGCTTTTGTTCACCATCTTCCTTCATGCTCCCCTGCGCCTCCTCCTCACTTCTTTGCTTGAACAATTAGGAACCCCCCAATGTATTGGCCTCCTCAGCAGAGAGCAGCCCCTGTATTTCACTCATTAAAAATTTGTTGTGCACCCATGATGTGCCGGTATAGCCTGCCCTAGTCTGAAAGGTCAGGGAAGGTCTCAACAAGGAAGTGACACCCAAGCTGTGATCTAAAGGCTAAGAAGGAGAAACCACACGATGGGGGCCAGGAGTACCTGGGGAAGTCTCAGCCTTCGAGATGCTGGCAATCTTGTCCTTGCTCTGTGATGGCCGGGTCAAGGCCCACCACCCAGAACTTCTGGAGCCTAATATGACACCCTCTTCCTTCCCAACCTCCCCCGACAAAGCCCCTCCCCTTCACTACACTGCACAACCCCAGGATGTGCATGTCACAGTGTGATCTGCAAGAATAATCCCCCTACACACTGGAATGCAACTCCATATACTGTGGGGCAAATGATGCCCTGGAGCCATGGGGTGAGGTGGCCCTGCCTGGGACCTCCCCTGAGTGTCCTTCCCTCACACAGACCATGAGCTCCCTGAGGGCAAGATGTGTCTACTACAGAGCCCAGCATACGGTAGGGGCTCAATGTGTGCTTTGTGGAATTTAATTAAGTTGCCCTCTAATTACTTCCTGTGCAAAAGTCCAGCCCCCACCCCAGCCCACCCCTGAGGTGCCTGTGAGTGCGCTGGTGGCAGCCAGGGTCTCTCCCCTCGGGGCTCCCAGCTCTAGTTCTGACTCAGGGTGGAAGACTCATGCGGGTTGCTCTCTGGTGGCTTTAGGAGGAAGGCCAGACCCCCGGCAGTGACTCGAGTACTGCAGAAGGTGGAAGGAGTGAGGCTGGTCCGGAGCCCTCCTCGGGATGGTAGGTGGTCTCTGGCCAGGGGAGCATGGGTGGGGAACCTCCTGACAGAGAGGGAGGGGCTCCCTGAAACTTGGTTGAAGAAAGAAGTAAAGACGCTTCAGCCAACCATGAGCTCTGTTGGCCTCCGCCTCAGATGTGAGCCAGGCCCCGGCTTCCCAACCTGCTTTGAAGCAGCCAGAACAAACTCCCATCAGGAACCCTGATATAGACTGTGGGGCTGCACCTGTTGCAGCTGCAGTTGCAACAGCCTGGCCTTCCTCTCAACATCTCCATCTGCCTTTTACCCTGTTCAGCCTCTGGGGCATCTTGGGGAACCTCGAGGGTTAGTTTGAAAACTCCTAGACTGGGCCAGGTCCCTTGTTTCACGTGAGGAGGCTGAAGCCCAGAGAGCGAGAGGGATGGCCCCAGGTCACATAGGCAGCAAGTACGAGCCTAGAACTTGGCCTCCTGATGCCTGGGCCCACTGGGGTCCTCACTGGCCAGATCCTGAGCTGAGGAGAGCATCATGGGCAAGAGGTGGTGGCAGGGGAGGGATTCCCTCTGTCTACCTTCTGGGGGAGATTGGGGAAGGATGCCTCACTTAGGAGGGTGTGGTGGGAACAGACAGAAGGGAGAGAGGTCCCTTAAAACAGCCGCTGGTGGCTGAATGAACACTGAGTGAGCATCTCCCGCATGCTCAGCCCATGGGACCCCAGAGGCTATTCAGGTACCAGCCTTTCCTCCAGGGATAGACAAGTGACCAAACGACCACGCAAGAATTGGCGTTTGCGCTGGGCCCAGAAGGCAGTGGGGGCACTTGATGGCGATGAGGCATGGAGTAGGCCGTGCACACATCCTCTCACTGGGAGGATGCCGGCTCAGAGAAGTGTCCCAGGTACCAAGAGAGAGAAGGCAGAGCTGGGAGCCTCTCCACTTGGCTCTGTGAATGGTGGAAATGGGACGGGGGAGGGGAGGCAGCCATTGTTGCTTGTGCGTTTCTGTATGTTGGTAAGGTTTGTCTCAGTTCATTCTCTCCCAAACCCTGAAGGCAGGATTATCAGACAGAGGCCACAAGGCATGCATGGCCCGGGCCATTTGCTCTGGGCTGGGGTCACCCTTCAGCGCTATGGGATGTGAAGGCCAGTGCCTGGCTCACCCCACGTTGCCATTTTACTGGGGACATACCTGAGTGGCTTCCGCCTGGAGGTATTGAGGATCCCCACGGCAGGGGAGTCGGGGTGGCCACTCATGGACCCCACTGGTTGTCTGCCCAGGAGGATCCTGCAGTCAGCCCTGGGAGTGAGACGCTTCTGCAGGGAGCACATGCGGCTGTTCCGGTGGATCTGCATAGGCCTGCTCTGTACTGGTGAGCCTGGGGCCCTGCCTGGAAGACAGATACTCCTACCCCAGCCCCCAGGCCCCACCACCCAAGTTTCAGCCACCTCCCCCACAGCGATCCACATGGGCAGAGTCATTCACTTAACCATTGAGTCAACAAATGTTTGTTGAGCACCAACTCAGGGCCAGCTCCAGTGCCAGAAGCTGGGGCATGGGAATGGAGCAAGACGAGATCTTGTTCGTCTTGGCACTCTCTGATCAGTAAGGGAGAAGGAAACAAATATTTTCACACAATGCAGTGAGCCATCTGGGGGCACCAAGGAGGGATGGGAGGTGCTCAGACAAGACTTCCAGATGGAGGTGACATTCAAATCTCACAGGTGGAGCAGGAGTTAGCCAGGTGGAGGGAAAGGACAATAAGGAGTGAGAAGGCACTCCATGCAGAGAAACTGTAGGAGCAAAGGTGAAAACCGGCAGGGTGTGGGCAGGGAGCTGATAAATAGTCTAGTGTTGCTGGAGGGTTCTGGACAAGGAGTGCCAAAGGACGGGCCAGAAGGACGGGAAGGGGCCTGGTATTGGGTGAGGTGGGGGGTTGGGGGAATGCTCAGGGACTTGCATTTTACCCTCAAGGCCAGAGAGAGCCATTGAAGGATTTAAACAGGGAAGTGTCGAGGTCAGATTCATATTGTGGGACGCTGGAAGAGGCAGGCAGGAAAGATGGGGAGAAGGAGACGTTGAGGGCAATAGTACATGTGTGACAAGGTGAAGTGGTGGAAGGTGGAAGGGGATGAATTTGAGAAATCCTCGGGAAGCAATGCCAGCCAAATTTGGGAGCTGATCAAGTGTGCAGAACGAAGGAGGCTCTGGAATCCAGGATGCCTCAGGGTTCTGCTCCGGTGACGGGGTAGGTGATGGTGCCCTCCCCAGAGCTAGGGACATGGTGGAGGAGGAGGTCTTGGTGGGTGGGATGATGAGTTGTTTGGACAGCGTGTTGGGGGTACCACTGCCAGGCCATCCAGGAGGAGAGGAGGTGTCCCAGGGACACCTGGAGAATGAGTCCAGAAGTGGGTCAAGGACAGAAGCCTGGGGACCAGCCATGCAGAAAGAGCTGGCAGAGGAAGACGGGCCCTGAAAGAGCCTGAGAAGGTGTGGAGATGGGGGCGAGAGCAGGAGACCCCCAGTGGGGTTGGTGCTGAAGCTGAGCGAGCAAAGGGTTTCAAGAAGGAGGGAAAGATCAACAGTATCTCTGCAGTCAGGGTAATAGTGGGACAGGGACTGAGCACGGCCCATGGGATTTAGGGACAAGGAGGTCACTGGTGGCTTAGGGTGGAGGTGCAAAAGCTGGATTGGCGTGAACGGGAGATGAGTCAGCATAGACAGCAAGTGTAGACAGCTCTTTAGAGAAACTTTTTATGAGCACAGGGTGGGAATATTCACAGGGAGGGTGTGACAGTGTCAAGGAAGGGGTAGTTTGTGATGGGAGACACTCTGACTGTGTTCATGAGCCAAGGCAGGGAGTCTGCAGAAAGGAGGTGAAGGACTAGGAGACAGAGCTGACCGATGGAGCAAGGTTCCCTGGGCACAGGGAAGGAGGGCTCCTGAGCTCAGGTGGAGGGGTGGGTCTTCATAGCTGGAGGCCCACCTCATCCTGTCAGGTGGAGACAGAGAGGGAAGGCAGGTGTGCACGTAGAGACCTTCATGGGGGCCAGGTGGGGGAGAGGACTGTGAAAGACATGACAGCAATGGCCCCAGTCTTCATGATGATGTGGAAAGCAGGGTCATCTGCAGAGATGGGGCTGGTTCCTGGCTCCTCACGGCTTCCTTCTAGAGATGGCTAAGGCAGTGGAGTCTTCCTTTGACAGGATCTGAGCGAGGGCCTTCTCTGTTCCACCTTCTCTCAGACTCAGGTTTGTTTTTCTTGAAGAAATGATGGAATTCCTTCTAGTAGGTAATGCAAATTACCTATCTCATCCTATTTCCACTTTTGTCCTGGCTGTCAGGAACCCAGTCTCAGTCATTACATTATCCCTTACCATGGCCAACATCGACTTTCTCCATGTCTGGATTTTGATTTCCTCTGGCTCTTTAATATCACTATTGTATCATGACTTTTACCGTGAGGCCCTTGACGCACTTTGTGGGAGCATGTGTGATGGAGAAATGAAGCTCATGTTCTGAATACCTGGTGCCTGAGCTGCAGCAATGGCTTCCTCACCTTAGGTAGGCTTTCTCTATGGGTGCAGTTTGGCCCTGGCGGCTTCCTGGCATGGAGGACCTCACGGTCCCCAATCTCAGAAGAAGATTGTGCCTCTTGCCCATAGTTCCAGCCAAAGTCCCCAGAGGTCTCTGATTGGTGTAGCTCGGGCCATGCGCCCATCCCTGAACCATCCCCTTGGCCCTGGGCGATGTGGTGGTTTCCTACCCCTGAAGTGGGTCTGGCACTGCTGGACCACATGGGCTGAGAGTGGGGCGGGATGCCCCAAGGGGACAGAAAATTCCTGTCACTAGAGGGGTGAACGGATCCTAGATGGATAAAAATACTTCCTAAGACACGTTTCTCCCGTGCTCCTCCTGGAGGATTCGTCTACACTGCCTCTTCTCCCGCACGACATGCCAGTCCCTCCCTGAATCCCTGCTGGCCACAGGCCCCCAGACAAACAGAGCTGGGTTGGAATCCTGGCCTCGTTTCCTCCCTCTGGGGGTCACTCACTCCGCCAGCCTCAGAAGCCTCGTCTCTAAGTGGGTGTAGATTAGATCCCACAGTCCCGGCCTGTGGGATCCTGGTGAGGAGTAGTCGTGTGAGTGCTATAGAGTGCAGAGTGCAGCCGCTGCCCCGCCACTGCCCCCTTGCCCTCCGCAGCCCCGGCCTGAATCCCTGACACCACCCTGCAAACCCTCACCTGGGTGCCTCTGACACCCGAACAGGTAGGAATTCCAGGCCACAAACTTCTGTGTGAGAGAAAGGTACCTTTATTTTCTATAACTTGACTTATTTTCTATTTCAATTTTGTCATTCCAACTGAGTGATGGGAACTTAATTTCTGTCAATTTGGAATATCCCTTCACTCCTCTTCCCAGGAGTCCCCAGGGCAGCTTATCTACCATCAATCCTCAGGTGTCCACTGACCTGTCCACTTCTCCAACTGGCCATAGGTTCTCTGCCCTTGCAGGTAGCCATGGAGACAGCCCCGTCCATGGCCTGTCCTGGTCTCCCTCCTCTCTCCTCTTCCCAGCCACTCACGGAGATCACTTCTGCTGCTTTGGTGCCTGCTGAGGTGCACAGAACCTCAGAAGCTTTCCGCGGCTCTGCCTGCCCACCTACTGCACGGGCATTCCTCTCTGAAATCTCACTGCTTCCCTGGCGTGGCGTTCCTCTGCTTGCAATGCCACAAACACACCTGGGCTTTAGCCACCTTCCCAGGCTCAAGCTGGGAACAGGGGTAGAGCCCCTTCCTCTGGGACCCACCAGTGTCCTTGCTCTCATCATCCTCCAACTGGTCTGGCAGCAGAGGGGGTAGGGGGAGGGCTGACACTTCCTCATAATGTTTCAGCCTACATTTTTATCCATTGGGAAGGCTAAAAGTTCTTTCCATTCTTCAAGGGCCCTGGCTTTTGAAATTCATAAGCCAGGGAGAGATAGTTCCCCCTTGGCTATCTGCTGTCATATTCCTTTCTTGAGGAATAGCACAGACTGGCTGAGCTGCTCAAAGGGGAGAAGGGCAAAGGGGCAAAAGGCAGTTCTAGGAAGAAAATGGTCATTGACTAATATTTCAGAATAGGATCCTGTCACACATGGGTGAACTCCTTCCTGGAGTAACTGACTTGTCCATCTCTGTCCTCCACGGACCTAACGTGGCTCTGGAAGATAGCAGGCGCTCCTTTGATGCTCAGAGACACGCTGTCTTGCTTCCTGCTTACAAATCTCTTCCCTCACGTTGGTCAGCACTTCACAGTTTGCAAAGCCCTTTCACACACATTCCGTCAGTTAACTCCATCATAACCCTCCAACACAATAGAGATGGTTATTCTCATTTCCAGATGGGGAAACTGAGGCTCAGAGAGGTTAGGTGACATTCCTGCCCTCCAAGCTCTGGATGGAGTAAGGTGGAGCCTGCAGGCGGGGCTGCAGGGGCCTGGAGAGGCCAGAATCATCGTGGTTGACCCCTTCTCCGTCTTTCCCCCCACCTCCTCCCAGCATTCGCTGCCTTCCTGCTGATTGCCTGCCTCCTGGATTTCCAGAGGGCCCTGGCACTGTTTGTCCTCACCTGTGTGGTCCTCGTCTTCCTGGCCCACAGCCTGCTGAAGAGGCTGCTGGGGCCAAAGCTGCCAAGGCATGTCAAGCCTCTGGGGCATTTCCGCCTGAACCTCTGGCTTAAGAGGTGAGTGAGCTCACAACCCTGAGGCAGGGCCGGGGCAAGGCCTTGGCTGAAGACCTCTTTGTCAGCTCCAGGGTCACAGCCAGGGCTGGGTGAGGAGGGCTTCAGCCCTTGTCCCACCAGAGGGTTTCTGTGCCATGGGGAACACACCTCACCGTGCTTGCCTCCTGGGAGCCCCAGGGCAGGTTTTGCTGGGTGGCTTCAAAGGCAGCAACCATCTTTGTGGCATTTTGCTGGTTCCCATCTGGTTCTCTGCCCCACTTACAACAGGTAACTATGACAGCTGAGAACAGGACTCAACAGTTTCCTAAATTCAGAGATCCCAGCCCATCCAAGCAGGGAGGGCTCATATCAGTGCCTCCTATCAGATCACCTGGGGCATGTGGGAGTCACACAGCTGCAGGGGACCACCCCTGGAGTCTGAGTCAGCAGGCTGGATTGGGGTCCAGGTGTCAATATTTTTAGTTAGCCCCCTGGGGATTCTGATGTGGCCAGCCGTGTCCCTGGACAGTAGTTTGGGATCCCCTGGTTTTCAAATTGGGTTCCTTAGAGCTCTGGAAACTTGGACGATACTATAGGGCAGGAGAGGGAGATTGGAGAGAAACATCAAACACCCCCCATCCCCATTTCAACCAGGCAGCTCTATTTTATCTGTTTTATGAACCAAGTTTTGCAAAAAAATTTAGCTGGAAAAAAAGGTTTCTATGGCTTAAAAGTCTGAAGACCACCAATCTATTTTAGTGCTCTACTTTGTTGATGAAGAAACTGGTGCCCAAAGATATCCAATGACTAAACCAGGGAGGTACAAGGCACGATGGTGTTTCCCAAAGTAAGATCCACGTACCACAACAAAATGATTTGGGCTGGCCTATGGAAGAACAAATTTTTCATTTTATTTATAGATAGATTTGCTTTTACATTTGCCTTCTCTTTATTAAATAGATTTATAAAAGGATTTTATTTTTACAATTGTTGTCTATTTATGACATATCATTGATACTGGTTTTCCATTTGAGGTGTTGATATAAAATTTCCTTTAAAAAATACATGTAGAAAAATTAGACTTTATAAGAACTAAAAACATTTTGATTCAAAGGACACCACCAAGGAAGTGAAAAGATAACCCACAGAATGAAAGAAAATATTTGCAAACTGTATATCTGATAAGGGTCTTGTATCTAGAATTACAACTCAACAATACAAAGACAAACAACCCAATTGAAAAATGGAAGAAGGATTTGAATAGACATTTCTCCAAAGATATACCAAACAGCCAATAAGCACATGAAAACATATTCAACATCATTAGCCATCATGAAAATGCAAATTAAAACCACAATGAGATACCACTTCACATCTGCTAGGACGGCTATAACAAAAAAGAAAGACGATAATAAGTGTTGGCGAAGATGTGAAAAAATTGAAACCCTCATGCACTGCTGGTGGGAATGTAAAATAGTGCAGCTGCTTTAGAAAACAATTAGTCAGTTCCTCAAGATATCATACACGGAGTTTACCACACTCAGCAATTCTACTCCTAGGTATATACCTAAAAGAAATGAAAACGTGTCCATACGAAAACTTGTACACAAATGTCCATAATATCATTATTTATAATAGCCAAAAGACAGCAACAACTCAAATGTCTATCAACTTGGGTATACATTAAATGTGTATATCCATATAACAAAATATTATTTGGCCATATAGAGGAATGTAGTACAGTCATGTGTCACTTAACAATAGGGACACATGTGCTTTTGTTGTGTATGACCATCACAGAGTACTTAAACCTAGATGGTACAGCCTACTACACACCAAGGCTATATGGTACTAATCCTATGGGACCACCATCATATATGTGGTCTGTCATTGACTGAAATGTCGTTATGTGGTGCATGACTATACTGATAAATGCTACAATAATGATGAAGCTTAAAAACATTGTGCTAAGTGAAAGAACCCAGTCACAAAGAACCACATATCATATGGTGTCATTTATATGAAATGTGCAGAATAGGTAAATCTACAAAGACAGAGAGTTGATTAGTGATTGACTAGGGCTGGAGAGGAGATGTAGGAATTGGGGGGTGATAGCAAGCGGTATGGAGTTTCTCTTTGAGCTGATGAAAATGTTTTAAAATTGATTGTGGTGATGGTTGCACAACTCTGTGAATGTACTAAAAACCATAGAACTGTACACTTTAAATGGGCAAATTGTATGGTTTGTGAATTTTGTCTCAATAAAGCTGTTTAAAAAATACATGCATGCGGTTTCGACTTCCAGTCAAGATGGAATAACAGAGACCAGAATTATCCTCCTACTTGAGAAACAACTAAAAAATCGGAACAAATATATGAAACAATAGCTCTTAAAACGTTGGACATTAGGCAACAAAGGACAGTGTCCTTGAGACACAGGAAACAAATGAGGTGAGCCTTATGACTGCTCCAGCTTATTGCGCTGAGACAGTTTCCAGGCCACAGTGCAGGGGAGGGCAACCAAGGTGGGGCCAGCAGATTTCCTGAGTTGAGGAGACAGAGCTGGGAACCCAGGGAAGGCAAGGCAGCTAGAGTTCACATTGCAGTGTACCAGAGAAGAGAGAGCTGAACAGAGGGAAAACTCGAGACCTGCAGAGGGTCCTCCTCAAGTATTCAGTTGAGTTCTGATCAGTGAGTGCGCATGAGGAAACTACCCAAGGCCTAGGAAAGGACCACCCAAGAGGATTAGAGGGAACAGTGCCCAGAAATCACACAGGGCCAGGAATAGTTTTTATTCTCAACAGAGTGGTAAACCTCATAATTCACAGGGCATTGCTTGGAGTACTAAAAAAGATCTTGGGTCAGTACTGGGAAAAATTAGCCAAAGAATAAGCCCTGCTCAGGCTCTGCCTAACAAATCCAAACAACAAAACTGGGAAGAGTCAAACAGGGCATGGCACAACTTTAAGTGGGGAAATATATGTGTACTTGAAGTCTCCAAAGGAGACGGAGGGAAGAAAAAAACACTTGAAGAAATCATGTCCAAAAAATTCCAAATTTGATGAAAATTATATCCAAATTTCCAAGAAACTCCACGAACCTCCAGCACAAGAAACATGAAGAAAACCACACCATGCACGTCATAATCAAATTGCTTAAAACCAGTGATAAAGAGAAAATCTTAAAAACAACCAGAGAAAAAACGATATGTACAGAGGAACAAAGATACAGATAACAGCAGATTTCTTCTCAAAAACAATATGAATGAGGAAACAGTGGAACAGTAAAAAATAAAACCAAAAACGTGTCAATCTAGAATTCTTCAGTGAAAGATCTTTCAAAAAAAAGGAGAAATAGGACGTTTTCAGATATACAAAAGCTGAAAGAAGTTTTCAGACATAAAAAAGCAGACCTGCACTACAAGAAATGTTAAAGGAAATTTTTCAAACAGAAGGAAAATGATACCAGACGGAAACCTAGATCTACACAAATGAATAAAGAGCATTGAAATGGTAACTATATGGGTAAATATAACAACTATTTTTCTTATTATTTAAATCCCCTTAAAATATAATCAACTTATAAAGCAAGAATAATAACAATGTATCTGGAGTTTATATTATACGTAGAAGTAAACAACAAGGGCACAAAGGCTGGGAAGGAAGAAATGAAATTATACTGCTGTGTGTTTTTTATGCTGCATGTGAAGTAGTGTAATATCACTTAAAAGTAGATTGTGATAAGTTAAAGATGTATACTATAAATGCTAAAGCAATCACTAAAAGAACACAAGAAAGAGTTATACCTAACAAACAAAAAAAAAGATAAAGGAGAATCATTTAAAAAATAGTCAATCTTGGGGCTGGCCCCGTGGCTTAGCAGTTAAGTGTGCACACTCCACTGCTGGCGGCCCGGGTTCGGATCCCGGGCACACACTGATGCACCGCTTCTCCGGCCATTCTGAGGCTGTGTCCCACATACAGCAACTAGAAGGATGTGCAGCTATGACATACAACTATCTACTGGGGCTTTGGGGGGAAACAATAAATAAAATTAAAAAAAATAATCTGAAAGAAGGTAGAAAAATAGGAAAAAGAACAAAGAACAGATGAGACAAATAGAAAATAAATAGCAAGATGGTAGATTTACCCCTCCCCTACACCAATATTCACATTAAATGTACAAACCAATATCCCTCATGAACAAAGATGTAAAAATTATTAACAAAATTTTAGAAAACCAAATGCAACAATATATTAAAGGGATAATACATCATGAATGAGTGGGGTTTATCCCAGGAATCAAAAGTTGGTTTAATATTAAAAAATCAATGTCATGTATCATAACAGACTAAAAATAAAAACCAAATAATCAATGCCAATAGATACAGAGAAAGTATTTAACAAAATTCAACATTCATTCCTGTAAAAAATTCTGAACAAACTAGGAATAGAAGGGAACTTCCTTAACCTGATAAAGGGCAGCTACCAAAAATCTACAGTTAATATCATATTTAACTGTGAAAGACTAATGCTTTTCCACTGAGATCAAGAACAATATGAGAATGTCTATTCACACCACTTTTATTCAACATTGCACTGGAAGTTCTAGACTGTGCAATAAGGTAAGAAAAAGCAATAAAAACATGCAGATTTGAAAGGAAGGAGTAGAGCTGTCTTTATTCACAGACAACATGATTGTCTACATAGAAAATCCTATGAAATCTACAAAAAAGCTAGTAGAACTAATAAGTGAGTTTAGTAAGGTTTTAGGATACAGGCTCAATATACCAAAAAGCAATTATATTTCTATATACTAACAACAAACCAGCATAAATTAAAATTATAAATGCCATTTAGAATAACATAAAACATATAAAATACTTAAAGATAAATCTGACAAAAGATGTGCAAACCTGTACATTGAAAACTACAAAATATTGCTGAGAGAAATTAAGGAAGACTTAAATAGAGTCATATACCAAGTTCATGGATCAAAAGACTCAGTATAGTTAATATAGCAATTCTTCTCAAATTAATCTATAGATTCTAATAATATCTCAGTCAAAATTATAGCAGGCTTTCTTGGTGGAAATTGATAAGATGATTCTAAAATTCATATAGAAATGCAAAGAAACTAGAATAGCCAAAACAACTTAGAAAAAGATGAATAAAGTTGATGAAGTTAAATTACCTGTCTTTAAACTTTCTATAAAGCCACGGTAATCAAGACAATGTGGTATCCACATCAAAACAGACAAATAGATCAATGCAACAGAATAGAGAGTCCAGAAATAGATCCACATATTGGTCAATTGATTTTTGACAAGGGTGCCAAGGCAATTCAGTGGAGAGAAGATAATCATCTTAACAAATTGTGCTAGAATAATGGGATAATCATATGCAGAAGGAGGAGGAGAAGGAGGAGAATAAGAGGAAGAAGAAGAAGAAGGAGAAGGAGAAGAAGGAGAAGAGGGAGAAGAAGGAGGAGAAGGAGGAGAAGGAGGAGAAGGAGAAGAGGGAGAAGAAGGAGGAGAAGGAGGAGAAGGAGAAGCAGCAGCAACAGCAGAAGCAAAGGAGGAGGAGGAGGAGGAAAAAGGAAAAAAAAAAGAACTTTGAGGGACCGGCCGAATGGCATAGTGGTTAAGTTTGTGTGCTCCGCTGCAGCGGCCCGGGGTTCACAGGTTCAGATCCCAGGAGTGGACCTATGCAACCGCTCATCAAGCCATGCTGTGGTAGTGTCCCATATACAAAATAGAGGACAATCTTCCTCAGCAAAAAGAGGAGGATTGGCAACAGATGTTAGCTCAGCGACAATCTTCCTCACCAAAAAAAAAAAAAACACTTTGATCCATGCCTTACATTATATAAAAAAATTAACTGAAAATGGATCATAAACCTAAATTTAAAGCCTAAAACTATAAAACTTCTATAAGAAAACATAGGAGAAAATCTTTGTGACCTTGCATTAAGTAAAAATTTCTAGATACAAAACCCAAATCATAACCTGTAAAAAAATTGATAAATTAACTTTATAAGAATTCAGAACTCCTGCTCTTCAAAAGACACTGTTAAGAGAATAAAAAGACAAGCCATGACAAGGAGAGAAGTTTTGCAAATCATATATCTGACAAAGGACTTATATTCAGAATATATAAAGAACTCTCAAAACTCAATAATAGAAAAAACAACCCAATTTAAGAATGGGCTCAAGATTTGAACAGACATTTGGTTAAAGGAGATATATAAGCAACAAATAATCACATGGAAAGATGCTCAACATCATTAGTCGTTAGGAAAATGCAAATTGAAACCACAAAGAGATACTACTATATGTCTATTAGAATGACTGGAATTCAAAAGATTGACCATACCAAGTGTGGGCAAGGATGTGGAGGAACTGGAACTCTTATAAGAGTTAGTCTTATGTACCATTAGTGGGAATGTAAAATTGTACAATCACTTTGGAAAACAGTTTGGTAGTCTCCTAAAAAGTTAGACCTACCATATGATTCACCCATTCCACTTACAGTATTTACTCAAGAGAGATGAAAGTGTATATCCATACAAAGACTTGGCGTGAATGTTTGAATGTTCATAGCAGCTTTACCTGTAATAACCCAAAAGTGGAAACAACCTAAATGTCCATTAACAGGTGAATGGATAAACCAGTTGTGGTATGTCCACACTATGGAATACTACTCAGCCATAAAAAGGAATGAACTACTGATGCATGCAGAAACATGGATGAATCTCAAAATAATTATGCTGAGTGAAAGCAGTCGGGCAAAAAGGAATACGCACTGTGTGATTCTATTTACACAAAATGCTAGCAAATTTAAACAAATCTAGTGACAGAAAATACATCATTTGTTGCCTAGAGACGAGGAGAAAGGAAGGAATTACAAATGGGCGTGAAGGAACTTTTGAGGTGATGGATATGTTCCCTATCTTGATTGTGGTGGTAGTTTTAACGTGTATAGTCTACATATGTCAAAACTTACCAAACTTTCAACATGTTTTGTTTATTATATGTCAATCATACTTTTCATCAAGCTGTTAAAAACAAACAAACAAAAAAACACATGCATTTAAGTTTTTATCAAATGAATTAACTTTAAGAAAAATAGTAAGTAAAGAGATGTACAGGTGGCCCAGAAACGAGGCAGAAATTGTGCCTATGGAACTGGGACATGAGGAGTTTGGGAAACATGGGCAGGAAGAAACAGTAAACTCTGGAGTAGCCTGCTTGAGTTCAGGTCTGGGTCAGCCTCTTAACAGCTGGTGACCGTGTATAGAACTAGTTATAGAATAGACTTTGCTGCCAGAATGGCTGGGTTAACAGCTCAGCTCTGCTACTTTCTAGAAGGGTGGCCGTGGGCAAGTCATCTCACACTCTGTGCCTCAGTTTCTTCTTCTCTAAAATGAAGGCGGTAACCGTATGTCTCTCAGCTCTGGGCATAGTTCCCGGCACATAAGCAGTGCTCAGTGAACACTGCTCTCGTTAGTGGTACCTAGGGAGTTGATGATCGGCTCAGGGCAGACCTTGAGCACCCAATGCCCAGACCTGGGCTCTCGAAGACTTCATGCTGCCTCCTGGTCAAGCAAACTCCAGCCCCAGGGAGGGAAGCGTTGCTGTAAAGGTTGCATCTAGTCCTTGGTCTCAGGTGCTTAACTCAATGATCCAGATTGACATCATTGCTTCTGGGCTTTTGGGGAGAAGAGCCCATGGCCCATAGTGCTGAGTTCTGGGCCACACAAGCCCCCATCGCTCCAGCAAGGTCAGAGGCTGGGCTGAGCTGAGCATGATTGCAGCTGTGACAATTTCCGCCCCTTGATGAAGCCACATGCTTGGTACCGTGCTAAGCTCAGTACACACATCCTCTTATTTAGTCCTCTCCGCAACCTTGAGAAATCAGAGGTCTTTGGCTTCATTTTTTCCCAATGAGGAAGCTGAACTCAGAGACGCTAGGTGGTCTGCCCCAGTCACACAGCTCTCTCTCCTCCCATTGTCCCTAAGCACCCTTTCCCTGGGGCCCTGGGTGCTATTGTGTGTGGATTGGGGAGATGCTGAGGGTGATGGCTTTCTGCCTTTCCCCTGCAGGGGTCTAGCCCTCGCTGCTTTCCTAGGCCTGGTCCTATGGCTGGTTCTGGACACCTCCCGGCGGCCAGAGCAGCTAGTATCCTTTGCAGGAATCTGCGTGTTCATCAGCCTCCTCTTCGCCTGCTCAAAGCATCACCACGCAGTGAGTACTTGGTTGTCAGGCTGAGTGGGCCTCAGCCCCTTCTCTCTCTCTGCCTCTTTGGCATCCATCCATGCTGTGATAACAGGACCCATCCCTGTTTCATAGTGTGGCTAACACCTTCCCCCAGGCTCCAGCCAAGTCTCCTAGAGATCCTGAATTTGGGGATCACTGCTAAAGAATCATGAAATGCTGAGAGGCAGCCACAGCCCTTAGGAGTCCAGCTCCCTTCTGCTGGGGGGCCATTAAGGGAGTAGGGGTCAGGGAGGAGGAAAGGGGGAGGGTCCAGACAGACAGAGGTTACAGTGAGGCCAGACCTTGAGGCCACAACTCCAGCTCCATCCACCTAGTGATGACGGAGGAGCAAGTGCCACGGCACGCCAAGGCTGGTTGAGTCTCATGTGGGCCCTTGGTTAGATCTTGCCCCACCCCTGCCCACACTCCCAGGCCCATTGCAGCCAAGAACATGGCCTATTCTGAACTCCAGGAGGATGTGACCATTGGCAACAGGCCCAGACCTCTGGCTGGGTCCAGCTCCCATCCAACAGACAGGCCAAAACTCCCGTAGCCCCTCAGCAGCCCCGTGCCCTCAGCTCTCACCCTACCCTGTTCCCTGTGGGTCCCCCAAGAAGCTGAGCTCACCAGAACCTTTCCATCGGATGGCAGGTATCCTGGCGGGCTGTGTCCTGGGGCCTTGGGCTACAGTTTATACTTGGGCTCTTCATCATCAGAACAGAACCAGGATTTATTGCATTCCAGTGGCTGGGCGACCAGATCCAGGTGTGTACATGGGGCCTGGCTGGCCAGGGTATCTTTCATTGCCAGGGAATAGAGGAGAAGCCTCTCGGTTTGGGGGGAGGAGGGTGACGAGACCATAGAGAGATATCGCGACCAGGATGGTGGGTATATACTGGGGCCCTAGACCAGGTGGGCAGCTGGGGGCTGGGCAGTGCAGTGGCTTCTTCTCTCAGGCCTGGTACCACCTGCCCAGACAGAGCAGTCCTTTCAGAGGCTGGGTATGATATGGAAGAGAATCTCAGAACAAGGAGGTTCTCTGGGCCCCTGGGCACCGTGGCCCTCAGCAGTCATCAGTGATGTAGAACTTATGATAGTTAAAAGCGCTAAAAAAAATTACAAATGATTTACTTTGTGTGTGTGTGTGTTTAAAAATAACATTGAATTTGTTGAAGTTATAATTTTTAATTCCATCTTTTTTATTGGGGTAAAGATACATAATACAAAATTTGCCACTTTAACCATTTTTAAGTGTGATTAAGTTCTTTCACATTGTTGTGCAACCATCATGATTTACTTTTTTTTTTTTTTGTGAGATCAGCCCTGTGCTAACATCTGCAATCCCCCTCTTTTTTGCTGAGGAAGACTGGCCCTGGGCTAACATCCGTGCCCATCTTCCTCCACTTGATATGGGACGCCGCCACAGCATGGCCTGACAAGCGGGGCGTTGGTGCGCGCCTGGGGTCTGAACCGGCGAACCCCGGGCCGCCGCAGTGGAGCGCACACACTTAACCGCTTGCGCCACTGGGCCAGCCCCATGATCTACTTTTTAAAACAGAAATTATCGAGGGCACATGTTCATCCTATACTTACCCCCTCTCACCACCTTGCATTTCCATGTGCTCTGCAGAGGGAGATCTCGAGGGAGGGGAAATCCCGAATGTGCCCTGGTTCTGTGCGCACCTGCTGACTGCGCCAACGGCATCTGCGAGAGTGTCGCGGAGGAAGACAGAGTTGCTGCTCTGGTCACGCCCCCATTTTATAGATGGGAAAACTGAGCCCTGGATAAGAGAAATGACTTGTCCCTGCAGTCACAATGCAACTTCAGGACCTAAATATAATTCTCCTGTAGAAGTGTGGCCGGATTCAAACACCAAGGCCACGAGCCTAGGATGGGGACAGGATGGGGGCTGTGCCATTGGAAGCGAGGGGAGTGGGCAGGCACAAAAGGCACGCCCTTTGACAGCCTCCTCCACGTATCTCACAGTCTTGCTTCCTCCATTGTCTCTTCTTCATTGTCCAAACAACTCTCATCTCAGAGTATTTCTTAAAGCTTTATTGAAAAGCTGTCTCTTCTGGAGAATGTGCTCAGAAGGAGCAAGAGCCCATGAATGTCGCTTTAAACGGCACACATTGCCAGGTGGTGCCTCAGCCTCTGAAAAGGCCCAGGGCCCAGGGGACTGCATCCTTGGGCCAACTTGCCTGGGGCCAAGAGGGCTTGTGGCCTGGTGTCCCTCTCTCCCCCCAGGCTGCTGGGAAGGCCCACGGAGCAGGCGAGCCCCCTCCAGCTCACCCCAGCCTGGTTCTCCGGCCGCTGTTTCTGCCCCCTTCCCTCCCTGGCCTCACTCCGGGATTTCATTTTGTCCATTTTCTTCTTTCAGATCTTCCTGAGCTACACGGAGGCCGGCTCTAGCTTCGTGTTTGGGGAGGCTCTGGTCAAGGATGTCTTTGCCTTTCAGGTCAGCTCTACTCTTGGCTCACGAAGCCTTTAGCAGCTGCTACCCAGCAGCTCTAGCTAGTGGGGAGTCCGAGCAAGCCATGGGGACCAGGCCTTGGTGGAGAGGGAGGGCTCTTGCGGGCGAAGCCTGGGTTCTGGAAGCTAAGCTTAAGCCTTGGGTCCTGGGAGGGGCCCTGGCAATGTGTTCACCTGGTGACATGTTTTCACTATATTTTGTAAAATTTGCAAAACTAAGCTATATCTGCATTCTTTTCCTTAAAAATGAATACTCCAATGACAGAATTGCTGGGAGGCTGAGGACAAGAAGAGAGGGTAGGGCATGGGGATAACACCTGTTGCCACTTTAGCCTCCGACAGCTGCAGGGCCCCTAGATCTGTAAAGGACAGTTTCCAGGAACCCTTAGGCTCAAATGAGCCTCGCAGTATGCTCCTCCTTTAAGGCCTTTCACAGGCCACCTTCCTTCCTCCTTTCCTTCCAAGAAAAATTTATTGTGCATCTACCACAGTGCAAAATGTTATGTAGGAAATTGAGATAAAGGCTGAAAGTCCTTATTGTGTAATGGTAGAGCCCCCACCCTAATATAAAATAACGCAGCCTCTGCTGAGTATGCTGTGGTGTGACTGCTTCACAGTTCTGAATGGAGCTGTGGTTGTATTTCTTCTTTCTCCAGCTGTCTGCCCAAGCACCTGAATGCCTCCATTAGTAAGAACTCTTGGCTCTCCTCTGCCTGCCTCACACCCAAATTGTCTAAGGACCCTGAGGCCCGCTCCAGGCTTCAGCTCCATTTCCAAATGCCAGGTGGAGAGAGACCTGGGGCCCTGCCCACCCATTCGCGGGGCCCTGCCCACCCATTCGCTGGTCCCAGTTTTCTGCTGTTGCCACAGCACCACGGATGGGAATCAGTGCCGCCCACTCCAGTGTGTCCTGGACCACTGTCACGGTGGAGCTGCTGCACAGAATTTATGTGTAGGTTCTGGAGGTTTCTGCTTTTATCATTTCTCTGGCCATTGTTCCCAGAGCCTCCCTATCCTGCTGGGTGTGTGGGGCCCCGAAGGCTTCTGGCTTGAGCCATGGGTTGGGCCATGAACTTCTGGGCTGGTATTAAGCTGGGTCATGAGTCTGGACACTCCTGCTCACCCCTGACCCTGACTCGTGGTGAGGTCCTCTCGGAGTCTTGGTGTCTGTTTGTGCCAGCAACTCTCTGGAAAATGTCCACTCCGGCCAAAGAGTTTTTATAATGTGAGTCCTAGGAGGGAAGGGGGAGGGGACCAGGTTCCTGTCCTGGCAGGAGTCTTCTGTACCCCAGGACTAATCTGTCCATCAGGTTTCTGAGACCACTTCTGTGTAGGGAGGGGGTTGGGAGGGGCAGCCTCTGTCAGCCCCCTCCAAAGGGCCCCCACACCGTTCTGTTAGGGCAAGGCGGGTGCTTCTCCCTCCACATGTGCATTTCCCAGGAGGGGCCACCCCCGGTGTCAGGGATGAGCAGTGAAGACCTGCTCCAGGGTAACTTCTTGTGTCCACCCAGCAGAGAGATGGTGGCCGGCAGCTTCTCACACTTTATGAGACAAACACACAACACTCTGTAGTTCAACCTCCCCGGGCAGCCAGGTTCAAGTGCAATTGGCGCAAAGGAAAGTGCCTGGGGAGTCAGAGAGAGACAGATTGTTTAAACCAGGGCCTGTGAAGACGACTCTTTGAGGAGGCGGCATTTGGCATGGAGCTTCAGGACAGGAAAAATCTGGACACATGGAGACAGGCAGGAAGAGGAGACAGCACGGGCAAAAGAATGGAGGCGAGGAAGTGCTGGGATGTCTAAGAGGCAGGCGCGTAGGCTATTTGAGGGAGGTGTGGGTTTGGCAGGGCTGTGTCCTGAAGGATCTTGAACGCCAGGCTGCGGCTTCTGGGTTTCCCCTGTGAAATGGGGAGCTATTGAAGATTGTTGAGCGGGGAGGGACTTGACTGGCGCTTTGGGACAGTTATCGTGTCAACAGTAGACAGGAAGAGTTACAGCCCGGATGCTGGAATAGGGGACCTACGAGGAGGCTCCCTGACACCCAAATGGTGACCCAGGGCCATCAGGCTGCCATAGTCCAGAAGAGAGGTCACTTCAGGGAATGGAGGTTGGGGAGAGGGCTGAAAAACGACTCGTATGAAGGTCATCACTTGATTCCACATGTTGCCATTGTGATTGCATTTAGTTATTTGATGGCGAGGCCTGGGTCTTACTCATCCTTGTGTCCTTTAACTGACCCTGAGTCCCACAAAGCCCCGCCCAGTGCCTGGTACATTGCTCTTTGCTGAATGAATGAAGTGAATAAATGATGCTTCTTCTGTGTACATGGGCAGTCCCTCTGCACCTGTTGGGAAGGTCTGGCTCTGTGAGCTCCTGGCTCTGGGCTGGGCTCCCACACAGCCAGCATCTCCCTGGCTGGGCCACCGTTCCCATGACTGCGTGGTCCTGAGCAGCTTTCTCTTTGGCCCAAGACCAAGGCTAAACAATTCTTTCTCCAAACCTCTCCAGCGGGGGCCAGAGCTTCCCAACCCTCGAGAGCCGGGAGCTACACACAGGCTTTGCAGCAAGAATCAGGGCCACTAGTAGCAATTTTGTCCCCCTCTAAACCTAAGATCTTGGTGGAACAGAGAAGAAAAGCTTAGGGAAAGTGGGAGGGGTAAGGAAGTTATGGAGCAAGGACTATGTGCCAGGCACTCATTTCAGCCTCACAGCAGCTCTATGGGGAAAATACTGTCATTATCCCCTTTTCACAAACCAGGATACTGAGGCTCAGAATGGTTGTTGCTTGCACAAGTTCACAAAGCTAGTAAGTGTTAGAGGCAGGATTGGAACCCAGGTCCAAAGCTCTCACTTATTAGCTTCTGTGCCTTGAAGTCAGAGCCCTTTCCTTGGTAGGCAGTGGTGACAAAGGGGCCCAAGACTTTTGATGTTTGTTTCTCCTCTGGTTTAGAATAAAACAGTATTCTTTAGGACTATTTGGTTGTAAGTGATGGAAACCTGTTTGAAACTCGCCTTAAAAGGAGGAAAGAGAGAGGGCCATTTCTTGACTCACAAACTGGAAAGCAGATAGAGCTGGTGCGGGCCAGAACCAAGGCCCCGCAGCTGCCAGGATCACAGCGCTCAGTCTCATGTCACTGCTTATCCCAGGGTGTCAGCTTCATTCTCTCAGGCCAGATCTTCCCCTGGCTCCCAGCAACATCAGATGCCCATCCTTACAGAATATCACCCAGAATGGGGGAAACTCTTTTCTGCCAACCCAAGTTAGAAAAATCCTGGGGCAGGAGTCGGATGGGGCTGCCTTGGGTCATGTGACCATTCTTGGACCAATCGCTGAGGCCAGGGCATGGGATACTGCAACTGGAGTGACTGGGGTCTCACGCTCACCCCTGAAGCCAGGGGGTGATGTGCTCTGATTGAACAGAAGCCACCCTCAGAAAGTCATCATTTGAAAGAGCATTTCTTAGGAGAGGTGGGTACTATTAACCCCCCATCACGGAAAATAAGGCAGACAACTCCTTGTAGGACCTGCAGCTAGCTACATTTTCAGGGTGCCCTTGTGCTCCAGATGAGTATTTATGGTCTAGTATAGGAGCAGGGCCAAGTGACAGATAGCATACTTGCCTGGAAGAAACAGTGATGGCATGGACCCTGTGATCTATAGTCTCTCCCAGCCATAACAGGGGGCCACATTTGGGAGTCCAGGCTGTACTTTCTGACCAGGGTGCTTAGCTTCTGAGTTAGTCAGTTGTAAGTGACAGAAATACAACTCAAACTGACTTAAGCAAAAAAAAAAAAAAAAGATTAATTCCTATGACTGAGAAATCCAGGGGCTTCAGGCCCTGCTGGATCCAGGTACTCATTATCATCTGGGGTCTGCCTTGCTTATGTCCTGGTTCTGTGTTTTCAGTATTAGCTTTAGTCTTAGTCTTGGGCAGGCTCTCTTGAGGTGGTGGCAAAGATGTACCAGGGTTACATCCAACCAACTTGGCAATCCTAGTTGAGAGAGAGCGAGCGAGCCTGTTTTCCACTAGCTCCAGAAGTGGGCTCTTCTTGGCCTGGCTTGGAGTATATGACCATCCCTGAACTGTAGTCAAGGAGGATACATGGCCAAACCTGGAGCCCATGGGCTGAGAGTTGGGGTGGGGTGGGGATGTTCCAAAGGGAAATTTATGCTTTGTTACCAAAAGAAGCCGGGAAGGTGTGCTGGGCGGGCCAAGCAGTGGTTGTGCCCCGGAGCTTCCACCAATTCTCTCCCACTCCAGCACTGAAAGCATCATCTGGCTGCTGCCATGTCAGCCCCCTCAACAGTGTTAGCCACGTGTCCTCCCATCATTCCTCCCTTTCCGGAAGAATGAGCGCGCACCTGCTACTTGCATCTCAACCCGAGTCGCCCTTTAGAACCATGGATTCATAGACCATTAGTGCTAGGGGGGAGCTCAGCGATCTCTGGGCCTCCCCTTTATAATACAGGTGGTCAAACCAAGCCCCAGAGAGGAGCAGTGACCTGGCCATAGTCACCCAGTGAGTTAGGGCAGAGCTGCACTAGAACTGGCTTGTTGGACTTCCAGTCAAGTGACGTTTTCTTCTTCGTACTGTAAGTAGAAGTCAGTGAGATCATCCCTCCCTTTCAAATATAAGTTCATCCCTCACAACAATAATGATACATTTGGAACATATTCATGGTTGCCAAAGAGTTTGAGATTGGATCTTCAGTAAACAGAGAAAAAACAAGGGAGGTGAGTTTTTCATTAACCACCCTCAGTATTTCCCTGTCAAATACTAACCATTTCCTGGACGCCAGGAGGCCTGTCCTTTGGACAAACTCCTGGTCAGTGTATTAGCCAGTAGCCTTCCTAGCTCAGACAGGTCAGAAGAGGGAGGACTTAAGACAAATGCTCCATGGCCACGGAATTCCCTTTCTCACAAGATTCACTAATCACAAAATTTCATTCACACATACGCCCCCACCACCACATCTCACACACACACACACTCACACATACACGCACACATGCCCACACGCACACTTGCCAAGCGTGGGACTTATCTTTCTTTCTTTTTTTTTTTTAAATTTATTTATTTATTTTTTTTGTGAGGAAGACCAGCCCTGAGCTAACATCCGATGCCAATCCTCCTTTTTGCTGAGGAAGACTGGCCCTGAGCTACATCCGTGCAGATCTTCCTCCATTTTATGTGGGAGGCCGCCACAGCATGGCCTGACAAGCGGTGTGTCGGTGGGCACCCGAGATCCAAACCCAGGCCGCCAGCAACAGAGCGCAAGCACTTAACCGCTACGCCAGGGGGGCCGGCCCCCTTGGGACTTGTCTTTAGGGGAAGGTGGCTTTGTTGGTGCTGAGTTGAGTAGAAGACTCAGGAGCTTTCTTTTTGCTCTTCCCATGAATCATGTGGCCCTAGTCCCAGGCCTTTGGCCCATGTCAGCCTGGGGAAGTCTCCTCTGAGCTCACTTAGATTTTCAGAATCCAAGCTGCATCCTGCTGGGCCACAGTCCAGCTCATCCCTTCTCCAGGAAGTTGAGTCTCTGCCTGGGGCTTCTTCAGCCCTCCACACCCCTAGCCTGGAGTCCAGCACAGTCGACGTGGCAGCCACCTCTTGGCTATATCATCTTGATTAGTCATTCTACCTTGGCTCCTTCTCCCTTCTAGTGACTTTCCACCCACAGGACGCCTCCCCACAAGCTCCCACATCCTCACTGAGTCTGGCTGACCCCAGAGCACACGCCTACTCATTCCTCCGCTGTCACTTACATGCACCGGCTTACTAGGCTCAGCAGAGCTGCTCAGTGTTCTCCCTGAGGAACCCCTGCGGTGAAGGAAAACGTCTTCACCTCCTGATGCAGCCTCTATAATCCCCAATGGTCAACAGTGCCAAATTTTGCAAAAAAAAAAGAAGATCAAATAAGGACTGAAAGATGCCATTAGATTTAGTAATTAAGGGGTCACTGGGAACCTTAGTGAGCACAATTTTCAGGGGAGGGAATGGGAAGTAAATGGACTGGGGTGGGGTGCTGAAAGGAGGGAGATGGGACAATTGAACCAGCAGAGATCTTAGAAGAGTGTGGCATCTGCAAAGGTCTCTGAAGGAGACGTTGACAGGCAGAGAGGGGCATAAGCGGGCAGAGTGTTGAGGTCATTCTGGGCAAAGGGATGGTGTGAGCAGGAAATCAGGAGGCTGGTCCAGTTTATCTGGCCTTGGAGCAAGTCTCTTCTGCTTTCCAGTAATGGTGGTGGTGGGGTGGACACGGCAGCAGTCACCTCTGAGAAATCTTCCAGCTAGGGTTTTTGTGGTTTATTGTGGCCTGGAGCTGTGACAGGGCTCTGTCTGCAGTGCTTGGGCCCTGGGGGCTGGGGCTGTGGGGGTTTGCCCAGACAGCCTCAGGAAGTCATCAGGAGCCCTGGCTCAGCTCCCTGCGGGGAGAGGAAGCAGCAGGGCCATGTCCAAGTGGGTTTAGTCCTGCCTTCAGAGCCTGTTCCTCCTAAGGAGATGACACTTGCTCAGAGGGTGTGGTTCTCAGGGTGTGGTGTCCAGACCAGCAACATCTGGAAAAGCCAAATTCTCAGGGCCATCCCAGACCTACTGAATCTGAAACTCTGGGGGTGGGGCTCAAAATTTGCAATCTCAACAAATTCTCAGGTGATGCTGCCAGTCCAGGGACCACACTTTGAGAACTGCTATCCTAGAGGAGCTGGAAGTTCCATGTCCTTTGAGCTATGGGAAGCCCTGATACTAGCAGGACCAGCCTGCTGTGAGTTTCCACAAAGCAGTGGTCAAGACTTACTCGGGGCAGCTACAGCCTGGGCTAAGGCTCTCCTTTGGAGGGATGAATGCTGACCATGAAGACAGAGAAATGAGGTTCTAGGACTGGCACCAGGGCAAACCTCTGCAGAGTCATGGCAGGGCCTTGGCAACCTGCTTAGTGGCCAGGAGGTACTCTGTCTCTTTGTGTGACCTTGGGCAGGTAATCAACATCTCACAGCCTCAGTGTCCCCATTTGTGAAGTGGAGATGGTTACCTCTACCTCAGTTGCTTTGAGGATCGATGAGTCACCACACATTGGGTACCTGGCACATAGTAGGACTGCATAGTAGACACATAGTAGGACTAATGGCACTTCCCTCCCTCTTCCTGCAGCAGCACTATCTTGAGCTGCCTGTCCTGTCTTCTGCCATCTCACATACTATAGGCCCCAAGGGTGTTTCCCAGGCTAGGAGATCATATTGGCCTCAGGAACCTTATTTAGTATTAAATGAGGCACTTTAGAAAATCAGAGGTCACCTCTCTTCTCTTCCATTCACTTGCTCTCCCTAGACAGTTTACCACTTAATCCAAAACACAGCTTCTCTTCCACCAAAGATCCCGTCTCACAGACAGAAAACATCTCTTGGTTGCTGCCAGGAGAAAATCTCAATTCTGCAGCTGGGTCCCGCCGCCCTGGGCACTCTCCTTCCCGGCCTGGGCCGTTTCTGCAGCCCTGCCAGGCGGCCTCACAGTCCCTCGCATGATACATTGGACAAGCAGTCTAGACAGTACGTGAGCCTCTCTGCGTCTTACTCCAAGGGGGAGCAGAATCTGTCTCCGCACCTCATGTTGGGGGTGTGTCCAGCACCAGGCAGCCAGGGGGAGTCTGGGGCAGGAAAAGGGTTTCTCCAGACCGTGCCTGTGTCCCGTCGGGTGACATTGCCAGCTGCAATGACTGCGGGGAGGCAGCAGTGGGGTGGGGCTGTGGCCCTGGAGACGAGGGAATGGATGCGAGGGAAGTTTTGAAGGAAGAATTGATGAGGCTTGGAGTAAGAGAAGTGAAAAGCCTGGTAATGGGAGACAGGGTGACAGGAGGAAGGTCCACAGTGAGTCTAATTCTGAGCTTGTGGGCATCGAGTGGAAGTAAAACACTGGAAAGACGAGGGGCCTCTAATTCAGGAGGGAGGTTAAGGCAGAGCCACGGGCCAGGGATTGAGCTCATGGAGGAGGACGGACACTGTGCAAGGGGCTAGGCCCTGAGCCGCTCCTTTAACCTTCGCACCCCGAGAGGTGGGCGTTTTATCCCCGTTTTACAGACAAAGAAGCGGGTGATGAAAAGAGGTGGGCTCAGGGCCTGCTTCTCTGCCACAGCACAGGCCTCACCTGTGGCAGGGGTGACTGGGTGTACGCTCAATATTTAGAGGGGAACAGGGAACAGAAGTGCCTCCAGAGAGGCCCCACATGTGGGACACTTATGATTCCATACACTGAATTCAGGCCTCTGAGTGGCAAGGCCTTGGATGGAGTGGGCTGTCTGGAGTCGTCTAGGCCCTGCCTGGGACCCTGCCACCTGCCTGCCTCTGAACCAGGGCCTATGCTCTTTCCCGCAGGTTTTTCCCATCATCATTTTCTTCAGCTGTGTCATGTCAGTTCTCTACTACGTGGGCCTCATGCAGTGGGTGATCCTGAAGGTGAGTTCCCAATGTCCACGGCCTGGTCTCTGCCACAGTCACCTGCTCACAGGGCTCACACTCTCCCAGAAGGCCTTGCTCCCAGAGCCCAAACCTTCCCCAAATCCCCTGGTCTCAGAGCTTGAACCTTCCCAGAATCCCCTGCTCCCAGGGTCTACACCCTCTCAGAGTCTACCGCCAACCAAACATCCTGTCACAGAGTCTCCTGTCACGATACTAAGGAGAAATGGCGCCAAATCCAATGCGGTCTTTGTGGGAGAGAGGTTTGCATAACTGAGGCTACATTGAGAAGAAGTGTTAGGGGAAAAGATAATTGATACCGAAAAGATCTTGAGAGACCGGAGCAGAAGGCCACATTGGTCAGACTTAGCTGGTGTTAATGTCAAATCCTTTGCTTATGTTCATAAAATCTGTGCACAAAACCAGGATGAAGGAGATAGCATTGGACAACGCTGGACCTGGCAAAAGATTCAGAGGTTTTAGCTGATTGATCCCAGAATAAACGAGTACCATCAGGTGGCTGCCAGAAATGCAAAACCACCCATGGTTGTGTTAAGAGCGCACAGTGCGTGGCATGAGGGAGGCAGTTGTCCCCAAGTCTGGAGAACGTGTTCAACCGAGGGACTATGACAAACTGAACCCTCGGTGGGAGAGGGGAAGGGCCTGACACCAAACCCTCCGTGGAATGGTTGAAGGAAGGAGGGACAATGGGCCTGGAAAAGAGAAGGCCAGAGTGGAGGTGGTTAGGGGTAGGATAGCTGACTCATATACTTATGGAAGAAAGCAGGGAAAGGGCTTCCTGAGAGGCACCACAGTGAAGAGAAATTCCAGGTGAGCAGATTTTATCCTGACAGAACAGTGTTTCCCGAAGCCTTTTTCACAAAATTCTAGTTCCATGGCAGGTTAGTACATAACTACTAGGATAGGGATCCCCTGGTCAAATAGTTTCGTGAAGCTAGACTAGACACCAGGCTAAATATAAACAAGTTTTGGGCAGGACTTCTCAGAGCCTTTACTAAGCTAATATGTATTGGTAATCTCCAATGTGTGTGTGTACAGCAATTCTCAAATATATTTGACCAAGGAATCCTTTTTTCACGGATGGTAAGCCCCTGTCAATGGAGATGTGGAAGGAGATGATAAATGGACCTTTGGGGGAAATGTAGACGAGGGAGTCCTTACTGGGTTGGGAGTTGAAAGAAACCGCTTGTAAGGTACTTTCACCCTTGACTCTCTCTGATTCTGGGGCTTGCTAATGCCAGCCCCCAAAGAGTACACTGCTTCCTCCTAGATCGCCTGGCTGATGCAGGTCACCATGGGCACCACAGCCACTGAGACCCTGAGTGTGGCTGGAAACATCTTTGTGAGCCAGGTGGGTCCTGCAGCCTCCTGCCCTTCACCTCATCAGCAGCATCTCCAAGAAGGGCGGGTGCCCTGGGTCCCTGGAGCTCTGACTTAGTCAGAGGAAGAGACATTTCAACCTTCCCCCAGGGTCGCCAAAGGCTGCTGCCCCAGGGATGCTCCGTTTGGGGATGCGCTCTTTGCCCGGGTCATGCCAGGGAGGATCTGGCTTCTGTTCGGCACCTCCTACCCCTCTAGGCTAGGCTGTCTTCATTAACTCAGAGACCCACAAACCCTATAGATGGCACTTGGCTTTCTCTTTTAGACATGAGGAAACAGGCTCAGGGGTAGGAATGACTTGCCAAATCCCACAAGGTGAGCCAGGCTTTGAATTCAGGCTCTCTCCTTCCCGACCAGGGTGCTTTCCACGACATCATTTTGTCTTTTTTTCCCCTCCCTCTTTCTGGAAATGTATTTGCCAAATAAATGTGACTCTGAAGGCACTATCAGTCCCGAGTCCTTTTCAGAAGGCCCAACCCTCCTGAGAGTGAGACTGGAGACCGTTCCAGGATCCTGGCCCAACTGCCCAACATTTGAGTCACCAAAAGATACACTTGCCAAAGTATGGCATATTTCATTAGACAGTTTAGGAAACTCTGGAAAATATTTGCATCTTTTTTTTTTGCTATGGTGCAAGTGTGTTGATTTTAAAGATTTTTGTTTTCCATTTTTTTAAGCCAATTAAGACAGATGTGCTCTCAGATAAATTGTCCAAAATACCTTAGGATGTTCATAAAGCGGCAAAAGAGAAAAAGATACTGAAATACAAAAGCATTTATTTTATATGAAATGCTGCAAATGTGATCAATGGTTTTTGCTGAGAAAATACAAATTTTAGGTGAATGTGACACTGGGTGATGTGAGGAGCTCCGAGGGTAAATTAACTCTGGACAAGTTGTTGGGCAACAAATTGATCTAGACCCCTAGGTCTTTGCTTCATTTCCCCCAAGAGGTGAGGATGGGGAGGCTTCGAGGATTAGCAGCGTCATTTCAACCTCAATGTTCATGGGCCTGGGCCTTCTCTTCTCTTCTCTGTCCACACTCTGTTCCCGGGGGATCGCACCAGGTGCGTGGCTTAAACACCTTAAATATCTCCCAAGTCCCACTCTGCAGTCCTGACCTCTCCCCTGAACTCCAGTCTGACATATCCAACTGCCCCCTTGACCTCCACTTAGGTATCTAAGAGGCATCTCAAATTTACTATGCTAAGTCCAAACAAGCAGACCCCTAGGTTCCCTCCCTCAAGACACATGCACATCCCCAGCCTTTCCCTTCTTAGTGAATGGTAACGTCATCCACGGAGTTGTTCAGACAAAAGTCAAGGAGTCATCCTTCCTTCCTCTGCTTCCCTCGCTGCTGGCTGCATCCAGTTCATCAGCTAGTCCTGCCAGCCCTGCCCTCACCTCACACCCAGGCCCACCCTGCTGCCCTTCTTCTGCTTTCTACGAGCCACTCTTGTCTCTCACCTGGACACTGCCGTGCCTCCTCCCTGCTCTCCCTTTTCCCACTCCTGCTCCTACTATCCATCCTTCACACCTGCGCAGAGTGACCCTCTAAAAACAAGTCAGATCACGTCACTCCCGACTTAAACAAGTCCACTCCTTACCCTGGCTGGCCCTCCTGCACTCCTCCTTCATCTTGAGCCACGCTGCACCCATTCTGCTGTAGACACACTGGCCTTCTTATGGATCCTCGAGCTTGCCAGGTTTAGCTCTGCCTCAGGGCCCCTGCTGTCCACTCTGCCTGGAATGCTGTGCTTCCAAACTGAATAGTTGGCTCCTTCAGATCTCAGCTCAAATGTCACCTTCTCAGAGGCCTTTACTGATTGCTCAATTTTAAGTACCCTCTAACCACCACGCATTCTCTCACGTATCTTCACAGCTTTTATCATCATCTAAAATTACCTTGTTTATTTCCTTGGTCCCTTGTAGATTGTCCATTTCTTCCCTTAACCTCCCCTCCACTGCTCCCAGGATATAAACTCCTTGAGGGCAGGCACTTTATCTTGTTTACCCTGTATCCCTATTTTATAGAACAGTCTGGAATATAGCAGGTGCTCAATAACTGTTCCCTGAGTGAATAACTGACTGATTCCAGGCTTCCCCAGATACCCTGAATAATACACCTTCTAACACCCCAGCTGCTTTCTTCTGGCTCCCCCATGGCTTCATTCAAAGCTCAGGCCTGGAGTTACATCTGCTTCCGGCCCTTTGCATGAACAGAGGTAATTCTCTGTTTACTCTCCTGGAAAATGGGGATTTTCCACTTCTTTCCCAGAAAGTTGTACGTAAGAATGTGGGGTGCTTCGTGGGGCACTCGGACATGGTAGGCACTCAATGCTGGGGAGCATTATCAGGCTGAGAGGGAGGGTTGGGGGTGAACGAGTCTCAGCCAAGTCCAGACCATGGTCCTCACCCTGCCCTGCTGTCTCTCCTCCTGGGCTCCCCAGCACTCACTGTGACCTGCCCACTCCCAGGGAGAGGGATGCCCTGGGCGCCCGTGCAGGCCTGGCCAGCTCTGGCTCTCTGATGTCCTTCCTGTTTGCAGACCGAGGCTCCTCTACTGATCCGGCCCTACCTGGCAGACATGACGCTCTCTGAAATCCACGTTGTCATGACCGGAGGCTACGCCACCATAGCCGGCAGCCTACTGGGCGCCTACATCTCCTTTGGGGTATGTAGATCCCTCCCTCTGCTTGCTGCAAACTGAGAACCTGACACCCACCTGTGTGGGAGCCCCACACAGCTCCTGGCCAGAGCAACCTGGGGTCTTCTCTCATGGGCTGGGTCCTGACCTGGGCTGCTGTGATGGTGAGAGGAGAGGCTTCACCTGAGCAAGGTGAGCCAGGTGGGCTGGACAATCCGGGCTTCTCACCATGGCCAGTGGGGGCAAAGTTTTCCAGGGTTCCATTTATTGGGCACCTGCTATGTACCAGGCAAAGTACTGGGTGTTTTAATATCCCCATTTTACAGACAAGGAAATTGAGGCTCAGAGAGGAAATGAGATGCCCAAAGCTGGGATGTGAGCCCAGATCTGTCTGTCTCCAAAACTCATACACACAGTCCCTCACCTAGACCGTCCCTGGAGATTCGTCCTCCTCTCTGCTCCCCACTTCCCCACACCCTCTCTGGGCACAAGTCCTTCCTCTGCTCCTAAATTACTGTCTGTGCGGCTTGCTGAGCACAGTACATTTCTAGGCGAAATTGCACGGTGTGCATTGGGCCCTTAAATCAATCGCAACACTACTGCATGGCAAGCAGAGATGAATCTTCAAACCGGTCCCCTACAAAACGCCTGTAATAATGCTTTGCATTTGTAAAATACTCTGTACTTATTTGTGCTTTCACATGCAAATCTTTAAAGACCTTATATTTTTCGTAGCTATCAAAGAAATTCTTGCTCCTGGCAGAAGTTAATAAAGCAAAAAAAAAAAAAAAAAGTATTCTTCAACCCCACTTCCCATGGGCAGCTACTTCTACTAGATCAGAACAGTGGTTCTCAAAGTGTGGTCCAGGGACCAGCCAGCAGCAGCTTCACCTGGAAACTTATTAGAAATGCAAATTCTTGGGCCTCACCCCAGACCTGCTGAATCAGAAACACTGGGGATGGGTCCAGTATCTTGTACTGTTACAAGCCTTCCAGATGAATCTGATGCTCGCTCAATTTGAGAACCCCTGATTTAAAATGTCATTCCAGATCTTTCTGTGTAAATAGTCATTTAAGTATATATACCTGAATACACATACTTTCTTTTTTTACTAAAGATGAGGTAAATGTACTCATACTTCTCTGCAACTTGCCTTTTTCTTGTAAAATTCTGAGCTTGACATGAAATCCAGAAGTGCAGTCGGCCCTCTTTATCCTCAGGTTTACCTCAAAAATGCAATCCGTGGTTGGTTGAATCTGTGCATGCGAAATCCACGGAAACGGGATACAGAGGGCTGACTGCATTCATTGTACCACGCTATTTTACATAAGGGACTTGAGCATCCAGTGACCTATGTGGATACCGAGGGACAGCTGTATAAAGGAAAAGGTTGACAGAGCTGACTAATAAAAATGAAAAACCTTCATATGGTAAAAGTCACAATTTTAAAAAAAGTTTAAATGATTGATCAGGAGAAAACAGTTGGTAAATTATAAAAAGATATTTAAGCTCACTGATAGTCAAAGCAATTAAAACAATAATAACTTATGTTTCTTCTAAAAGCTATGCAACATTTCACACGCTCTAAATGGCAAGGCTGTGGGGCACTCATACACTCTTGATGGGAGTGGAATTTGCTGTAACCTTTTTGGAGAGCATTTATCAGTCAATTTAAAAATACCCCTTTCCGGGCTGGCCCGGTGGCGCAAGCAGTTAAGTGTGCGCACTCTGCTGCGGCAGCCCGGGGTCCACCGGTTTGGATCCCGGGTGCGCACCAACGCACTACTTGGCAAGCCATGCTGTGGTGGCATCCCATAAAAAGTGGAGGAAGATGGGTACGGATGTTAGCCCAGGGCCAGGCTTCCTCAGCAAGAAAAAAGAGGAGGATTGGCAGATGTTAGCACAGGGCTGATCTCCTCACCGGCAAAAAAATAAATAAATAAAATAAGTACTCCTTCCCTTTGATCCAGTTAGGAACATTTTGATACCAGAAATATTTTCACAAGTGGTCAAAAAATGCAAAATTCCAACATTACTTGTAATAGCAAAAAAAACAAGAAACAACCTAAATGTCAAGCAGTGAGGGGATGGGTTGGTTAAGTTCATCCATGCAGGGCACTATCCCTCAGTCCGTGTGCTGATCTGGAGGGGAGTGGCCTGCGATTCGCTGCCCCCAGGCTCTCCTGATGCTGTGTGTGTATGGGGGGGGACACAACAGAATGACCCTCACTGTCCCCTTCTCTGGGCCCCACGTCCACCTGTCTTTCTCATCTCTGTCCTTGGGGGTGGCCAAGGGGATAAGCCAACCTGTCCCTCAGTCCCTCCTTCCCTCAGGACACCTGGGACACACCAGAAAGCTCAGCTCCACACACCCACAGAGCTGCCGGGGCAGAGGGGCTGCTGCGTGACTTTTCCAGAAGGCTCCTTGTGCTCTGGGGCTTTGTCCTCTGGCCTGGCACCCTCTCATCTAGAATTTTACAGATCATCTGGTTCGTACCTTGTCTTGCAGAGGCCTAGGAAGGGCGCATCAGAGCTGGAGCACCCCCACCTACCCCACCACCAACTGATTTGGGGATAAATTTGATGTTTCAAAGGTGGAAACTCGAAACTGTTCCTGAGCCTTCTTCTGTGGTGGCGTATTAGAGGAGGGGAATGCCACAATACTTTCGGGACTTAGGGCCTTTGTCTGTCTTAACCTCGCTCTGGGTCCCACAGCTGGATGAAAGAATGGTATTCTTTCTACCACTTAAGCGCTGCTGCCTTATTTAACACTAAAATACTGGAAGAACTGTCTCCCTTTTCCATAATCCACCTTACAACTTAGCCTCCCTTCTTTCTCTTTCTCAGGCCAGAGTCCAGGCCCTGAGCCGGGTCATCGGGCTTCTCCACTGAAGGCGCCTGAGTACCCACTTCCCTTAAGCTCCAAAGAATGTGCATGGCTCCCAGGGTCGGCCACATGGCCACGGGTCTCCATTCACAGCCTCTGGAATGGAAGCCCCAGGGTACCCGCATAGCGGGCCCACGTGAACAGCACATAACAGATCTTCTTTCCCTTGTTCCGTCCCGCCTCTGGATCCACCCCTGGTGTGGAATCAGAGCAGCTCTCTTCTGCCCCCACCTGGCTCTTGGCCGCCACTGCAGAGCCCCAGGGCTTTCTCCCACAGCCCTGCCGGCCCACTCTCTCTCCCTTCTCCTCTTACTCCTTCCTCCAGGCAGTTCCTCACTGTATTTTTGGCTCTGCCCTCAGCCTCTGAATTCCAGAAAGAACTTTCTTGCTCTCTCTTCCTTTATCTTTGTTGCTCAATTTCTGGCTCCCTTTGCCCTGCCCACCTTCCTAGTGCTAATATCTGCATATTTCTAGACCTGCACTGTCTGACATAGTAGCCACTCGCCACACGTGGCTACTGAACACTTGAAATGTGGCTGGTCTGAAATAAGTGCTGTGAGACTCAGTAAGGAAAAAAATTAATATATTTTATCAATAAGTTTTATATTGATTAACAGGTGGAAAGGTAATATTTTGGATATATTGGGTTAAATAAAATACATTATCAAAATTAATTTCACTTATTTCTTTTTACTTTTTTAATTGACTACTGGAAAATTTAAAATCACAGATGTGATTCCCATTATATTTGTACTGGACAACACAGATCATCTGCCCTGGTCTGGGGTTCCAGGGGTCACTTGACTGAATCCTTTCATTGTGATCTCCACGTACATCTCCCTTTTCACCATATTTCTCAAAATCTCTAAAGTAGGCACCAGCTCTCTCTGCCAATCCCAGACATGGGTCTCTCTACCCACCCCTTTGGCTCAGGGGCTACCGTGAGAGGAGATCCATTCGTGTGCCTCAAGCTGTGAACACGGGCTGGGCAGAGGCTCAGCCATTGGTGTTCCTCAATCAATTGTGCAAGAGTGGGAGCCCCTGGGACAGGGTTGGTGAGATCCTAGCAGGCCCAAGTGAAAGTCTACTGCTTAGTTTCCACATCGGTAAAATGGGCAGAATTACCTGTCTGCCCAGTAGTTACTAAACTTCCAGGTCACTGTAGTTTAAGAATTAAACGCAATAATAGAAAATGCTTAGCATTGTGTTCAGGAAGTGGTAGTTCTTTCTCTGACATATTAGGGTCAGAAATCCATCCTTCTGACACTGGCCCATTTTATGCTTTGTGGTTGTCTGGATTTGTTTTCTGTTGTCTGAATTTTAACAATTCAAATGGAGGGCTCATGCCCTCTATCCCTCTCCACGTGGGACACCTTTGTGTAGAGAGAGGAGGGCCTTGGGCAGGAGTGGGCCCTGGGATGCTGAGACAGAAGGCATTCCTGAGTGATGCTTGGAGGCAGGGCTGGGGGATGTCACAGCCCGAGGAGTAGCTGGCAGTGGGAAGGCCGTGTGTGGGCTGACCCAGTGCCCCAGGGAGCCCTGCCTATGCAGGACTCAGCTCTTTCCATGATGAGCAGGAAATGAGCCGCTGGGGCATTTGAGGCTGTAGCCATGGCTGGCCCACTCAAAGGACAGTGTCCAAGAATGAGACAGCTGCAGGGTGTGTTCCCCTCTGGGGCTCAAGTTGACAAACCAGATGTAACCTTCAACCTGGAGGAAGGGGGAGGGTCCTAGCTGGTGGAGGGAAAAATCCCAAGATTCCAGGTGTGGCACAGTCCCCACTGGAGCTGGGCAGCCAAGGAAGAGGCCGGCCAAGTCCCGAAGCCCAGCCCGGAAAGTCCAGAGAGGACTCCTGCCCGAGGCTGGCTCCCTCCCACAAGGAGCAGGGCCTGCACACCCTGGGCCTGGGATGGGGCACGGGAGGTGGGTGCTGGTGATGGTACATGTTTTAAGGGGCTTCTGCTTATCATTGAAAATGAACAAATGGGGTTTAAAAGAAGAAGAAGAACCCGTTACAAGGGTCTCCCAGGCTTGGTGCCTCATCAGCAGTTCCTGGGCTTCTTCAGCCCTCCACTTTTATTAGTCTGAACGTGTAGCTTAAACTTACCTCCCCTCCTTTTTTTCCGTTTTATTTAAAACTTAAGGACTGCAGTTGATTTACTACAAACTTTAAGGAGAAGAAGTCTATTTTACTTTTCTGCTTATAAAAGCAATATATGCCCTTATGGACACTTAGAAAGAAAAGAAAACCACCCTTGCCCCACTAGCCAGGGACAGACAATTGGTTGACATTTGGGCGTGTTTCTTTCTGCTCTTCTTTTACACAGAGTTTTGGAGTTTGTTTTTCCCGTCGTCGTGGTGACGCTCTCTATGCCATTTTGTGGGCATTTCCCCACACTGTTGCAGAGCCTTGGTAACCACTGTTTTCCATGGCAGCGTGACGATGCTTGGCCATTTCTCTATTGTTGGATGTTTGGGTTGGTTCTAATTTTCCCATTTGGTAAATAGCACAGTGGTGAAAAAGGGTCCCATCTATCTCTGGAAGAAAACAGGGAAGCAAAGGGTTTGGGGCCACAGTGAGGATAAAAATTCTAGAAGAGAGAATCCCAGGGACTCAGGTTGCTCCACTGTCTTGCTGGGAAGGGCTTCTACATCACGGCTCCAGGAGACAGGCCCAGGGCCAAAGGGTGGCTGTTGTAGGAGGCAGACATCCTGAGAAAGAGCTCTTTGACCACAGCAGTGGGTGTGATGGGCTGCCTTGAAGTGGTGAGTTCCCTGTCACAGTAAGTATTCAAGGAGGGATCTTTAGAGGGAGGACATTCCTACACTATGAGGTCAAATTAGTTCACCCCTTGGATCCATCCCAACTCTCAGGTTCTGTGAGCTTTGTTTGAAATCACAAACTCCTCAGCCAACGGTGAACCAGCCCTCAGATTAGTGGTCAAAGGGAGACAGCCTAGAAGGGAAGGAAGAACCTTGAACTTGGAGCCAAAAGATATGATGAGTTCTAATTCTTTCTCTTCCTTTATTTTGGGCAAGTCATATTTAATCCTTTGGGAGCTCAGTTTCCTTCTCTGTAAAACGGGGTAACACTGCTTCCTCTGCCTAACTTACAGAAGTATGGGGGGGGAATCTGAGTTTCCGTACACACAGCCTGTAACCCTCTGCACGTCAAAGGTATTGCTCCTGTCAACAATAATGACAGCAGTCCTGACGAAGATGACGCACCAGTGCGCAGCGTACACACGGCCCCTGCTGCCCTGGGCTGCGCTTCCTGGCCCCGACGTTTCCGCTGACCGTCTCCCCGTAACCCCCATTCTTGCTCTTGCAGATCGACGCCGCCTCCTTGATTGCTGCCTCCGTGATGGCCGCCCCTTGTGCATTAGCCCTCTCCAAGCTGGTCTACCCCGAGGTGGAGGAGTCCAAGTTTAGGAGTGACGAAGCGGTGAAACTGACCTACGGGTGAGCACAGAGGAGGGCCTGCAGAGTGGGGAGTGGCGGGGC